GCTCCTCCATCCCTGGAGTTGAGTTTGTCCCTCCTATATTGCCTTTATTCGGAAATATTTCTAGTACTTGTGCCACTTGAAATTTGATATGTAAATATGTGAAACTCATTATGTAATTGGATCCAGTCATGAATAAATAATATACAACAATTTTTTTCCCCTATCCCTTTCTACTCATCTATCTATGCACACTAACACTGAACACATGTAAATTTCAACAACACTTCTGTATATATATATATATACACACACACTTGTGCTCTTCTCTAACACCTACCACTCTCTTATTTCCTCTATTACATGTTCATATAATCTTAATATTCACACTCTGATCCGTATTTTTTCTCCATGGCTCAGCCTGATCCATCAAACTCGAATTCTTGGTGGAGTAGCTGTAGCTCGATCTCCTCGACAAACTCGAACACGAAACACCGCCCAAAACGAGGCAGCAACGATGCCGAGTTGAATGGGAGAAATGATGGTGACAAGAGAAGCAAAAGCAGTAATAGTAGTAATGCTAATCGCAAGCATCCAGTTTACAGAGGAGTGCGAATACGGGCATGGGGAAAATGGGTATCCGAGATCCGAGAGCCAAAGAAAAAGTCTAGGATCTGGCTCGGGACTTTCGACACCCCGGAAATGGCTGCTCGGGCGCACGACGTGGCAGCCATCGCTATCAAGGGTGGCTCCGCCATTCTCAACTTCCCGGAGATATCCCACTTGCTGCCTCGCCCCGCCACTTCATCGCCGCGTGATGTCCAGGCTGCAGCCACCAAGGCCGCCAACATGGACCACCTCTGCACTCAACAGACATCGTCCTCATCCTCGTCTTCATCATCCTTGGTAAATTCATCGTCAGAAGATGTTTCGACGATAAGTGAAGAGGTGCAAGCCCAGGAGGAGCTGAGCCAGATAGTCGAGCTGCCAAGTCTAGGACCGAGTAATGACTCAAGTAGGCAGGATTTCGTGTTCGGAGAATTTTCCGAATGGGACTATAATCATCCATGGTTGCATAGTTTACAAGATTGTGGATTTTTCGAAGAAAATATGATTGAGAATATCATATGTAGCAGTTATGAAGGTCTTTTATCCAAACATAATTGAAGATGATTTGGCAATGGTGTGTGAATTTAGTTTTACTTTTCCTTTTGCCCTTTTTTTTTATTTTTTTTTTTATTTTGAGCCTTTGTTTTCTTTGAATTTTACTTTCTATATTGGCCCAAAATATGTACTTGCCTTGCATCTTAATTTCTTAAAGTCAGTTTGTAATATTGATTTATATTTCTTCTATGATATTTATAATATTGTTTATTGATATAGATTTAATAAAATGTTAAAATCATCGTTCAAAACATATTTATTTGTACTTCTAAGCAATATTTTCTTTTTCTTTTTGGAAAAAACCAAATGACCCCCGAGATCCTCACATGCTCCGGCGTGAGTCCTCCAAGAATAAAATAATCCTGACCCCATATGTATGCTGTGTCAACCCCCCGGTCCTCTCGCGAGCACTGTAGCACGACTATTTCTTTCTTTTTTTTTTCTCTACGTGTTAATATCGTTGAGAAAACTTGCTTTTACACGGCTAGATTATTCTCAATGAATTAATGGAGCATATAGTAACGAGACTTTTGAGCTGTCATTGACTTATTTCTAGGTCTTTGCCTTTATGGTCATAATAAGGGATTGTAATTTTATGCTCCTTTCATTAATTGAATAAAATAGTTGACAAAGTAGCCCACGAAGTCGATTTTATAAATGTGGAAGTAGTTAACAAGTCTTAGGTTGATTGAATTCCTCTCTTTATTTTATATGTAGTTTACAATGATCTTTGGGAAAATCGGAACAAAGTCCCAAATATTTCATTTTGTTGCAAAATAAATACTTTAATCTTTTATTTTTACAATCGCAATCCCAAACCTTTTATTTTAATTGCAGCCGGAGTCCATTGGACAGATTCCATCTAAAATTCAATTAGTCAACAATGAAATTAGATTTTTGACTCAAATTGACAAATGACATGAGGGGTAAAATGGTCCATTTATATTCTTATAATAAAATAATTAAATAAAAAGCCAAAAAAAAGGAACTACAACTTCTCCAAGACACCCCTCCCCCACTTCTCTACCTCTACCTTCAAAATCGAAAACTACAATCACCTCTGTTGCACAACCACTGTCACCACAACAGCGCTGCCCCACCATCGTCGTCATTGCCGTACAACCAGCAAAAATACCTCAGTTCAAATTTCATCTTCCCAAGCAATATCCTTCAAACCTCTAAAATCCATGGTTATCTTCCCCAAAATCTCACATTTTAACCATTACAATTTGAGCCCCTGAAATAGATCTAAACATCGAACAGATTATATACTCTTCATCCAGCAGCAACCCAAGCAAATCTAATTGGTGAAGATGTTTTGTTTGCTCTACATTCCTCACAGCATTCCCGGAAGTGCTTTGGGATTCAAAAGGTGCTCAAGAAAGTGGAGTGCGGTTCATTTGGGTGGCGAAGTAACTGGCGGTGGGTTTTGGATTGGTTGTTCAACTTTAACAACAGCTGCCTCTGGCTCTCTTCAACACTACCCACGGTGGTTATGTCCCCGACTATCGCCTGGAGTCGGAGCACTGCTTCCTGACAGCCATGGACGACGCACACAGTACAGTTAAATGGCTACAAACTCAATCTCTATCGAATAGTTCTGATCCATGGTTATCAGATGGGGTTGATTTTGATTGTTTTCATAGTGGGGGTGGGATTTGG